TTCTGAGGGCACATTCCCCTTATCCTCAGCACGGTGCCCTGTTTCCCCTAGACCCTCATGCTCCCTGACAGCAGCGGGGCTGCCAGATCCAGAGTGGGACGTAGCTAACAAGTCCCCGAGAGTCTTTTCTGTGCGCCTAGCTGACTGTCTCTGCTTCTCCAAGCGCTTCCACACACTCCCAGACCAGTTCTCCCACCAAAATCCTCAGCTGGATCCTCTCCGCTGAAAGCAAATAAAAAACCACTCACCCCTCTGTCTCCTGCTCCTGCTCCTGCTCAGAGCTCAGCTGGGTCTCTTAATTCATCAATATGCCAGTTCAGCATTCAGTTTATTTCCTTATTCAACCAGTTAATCAGCTAATGCATAATCTTTGTGTGTTTTTTAAATAGCTGGGCAGCCTTCAGTTTGATGCTAGGCATGTAATCAGTTAAGCCAGTTCCTTCATCTGATTATAAACCCTTGTTCATTAAGCATTTTTATCAGCTTGAGCTCTGTCAGTTTGTTGATTTCTTCCGTTGTTTAGCCCCTAATTAAATTCCATTTGAAAAGTTATTAATTCATTAATGTAGGCACGCGCTGATTTAATTTAAATCCATCAGGGAATCAAGTTCATTAAGTAGCTTTGTTGTCGGTTCCGAAATCAGCTTCTTAGTTGTTTCCATTAATTATACCAAAAATATATAAATTTATTTTAAAAGTTCCCTTTTATTCAATTAGCATGCAGAATGCCATTCCTGACTCTTGCAGATTTAAGGATTCTCAAAATGAATCCCAGCCAGTCCAGGCGCTTCCCACCATTAAAAACGAGACGTGCAAAGCACTTCACCATCATCCCTTTCGTTTCTTCATCCGTACCATACCTTCCGCACATTGTCCAATTTAGGCTTGTTAAATTGCGATTTCGGGGGCCCCACTCTACCACCAGCCAATTGGCCGCTGGGGGAGCCCCGCCCCCAAAGAATCTTGTCACGCCCGACGTGCCGGAGGTGACGTCATCACGCTGGGCACATTCCACGGGGACGCTCTAGCATTGGGCTAAAATTTTTATGGTGGTAATCATAGAGCTTTTGGCCAAATACTAGATCGTCCCTTGCGCGACATGCCCGAGGTGAGCAGATCCTGGGGAGGAGCATGGAGCCCCCCGCCGACAGATGGTAAGCCCCCAGCAACCCTAGTCCAACTGCAACTGTGAAATTGGAGATTGCACTTTAGTGATTATTGAGGCAGCTGCTTTCTGGTTTTAAGCACTGGGTCTTAAGGAAGCGAATTTGAGAACTGCTAGCATTCCCTCTCCAAAGTCCTCCCCGTTCCTCTGCTTTGGGCAAGGCCCAAGTCAACTGCGTCTGTCTTATGCAAGAGAAGGACGATGGCCACTGTGTGACACAGAGTGTTGAACTGGATGGGCCTTTGGCCTGATCCAACATTGGCATCTCTTATGTTCTTATGTTCTTAAGTTCCATCCCTCTGTGATCTTCTTGCCTTCACCCTGTAGTAGCTGTTCTGATACAAAGAAGTTCTCGAGACGTGATCGGTGACTCACGAAAGCTCCTCCCCTGCCACATATTTTGTTAGTCTTTAAGAGGCTACTAGACTCTTGCTCTTTTCTACTGCTAAAGAAAGACTAACACAGCTACCCATCTTTTTTGGGGGGTGTATTTTCCGTGTGTGTGTGTGTACGCGGGTGACTGTGACTGTGTGTGCACCTGGAAGTCATGGTGACCTCTGGTGACTGACCCCCTACAGGGGGCCAGGAGGATATTTGGAGAGGCGGCTGAATAAAGCCTGCCCCCGCCTCCCGACTGCTGGTATTCCTTTGAGGTCTCCCATCCAAGGACTTGCCAGTGTCGACACTGCTGAGCTTCCGAGATCTGACGAGATCGGGCTTGCCTGGGCTATCCAGGTCAGGGCACAGCTACCCATCTTGACCTGTTCTGATCCGGTTGATCGGTATTATTTGGAGCCAAACATTCAGTAATATTCAAATCACACGAGCCTTCAGTATTCAGGACAAGGGCCTTCATGTGTCCATTGGCTGCCGTGCGAATCTTGGAAATAGATGCAAATTTAACTTTGTTGCTTAATGACTTGTGGCGGAAATCCATACAACGCCTGAATTGCCTTAGCCACAAGTAAAGGAGAAGGGTTGTCAGCTTTGGGTTGAGAAATACCTGGAGATTTTTTTGGGGGGTGAGCCTAGAGAGGGCGGGGTTTGGGGAGGGGAGGGTCCTCGGCATGGTAGAAGGCCATAGAGTCCACCCTCCAAAGCAGGCGTTTTCTCCAGTTTGGTGTAGTGGTTAAGTGTGCGGACGGTTGTAATGTGGTGGGGGTGTGTGTGTCTCCAGGCCCCACCTGGAGGTTGGCAACTCTAGTGAGGAGACACATTTTAGTCTACTGTCTATCTTGAATGGGTCAGTTGGTCCTATTGACATTTTAGTCTACTGTCTATTTTGAATGAGCCAGTTTGGTGTAGTGGTTAAGTGCGCGGACTCTAATCTGGGAGAACCAGGTTTGATTCCCCACTCCTCCACTTGCACCTGCTGGATGACCTTGGGCAAGTCGTAGTCCTGATAAGAGCTGTTCTTGAAAAAGATCAGTTTCTGTCAGAGCTCTCTCAGCCCCACCTACCTCACAGGGTGTCTGTTGTGGGGAGGGGAAGGGAAAGGAGTTTGTAAGCCGCTCTGAGACACCTTCGGGTAGTGAAGGGCGGGGTATAAATCCAATCTCTTCTTCTTCTTCCTGAACTAACTCTCGATTTGCAAGTTAACATGCTTCTTTTTATCCGACATGGAGATATATAGGAGGACAATACAGGGTAGCCAGGTCCCGTCCCCCCGGCCACGGGCGGTGGGTTAGGGGGGTAAGGTTGCCCAAACCAGGTTGAGAAACTCCTGCAGATTTGGGGGATGGGGCCTTGGGAGGACAGGGACCTCAGTGGGGGTACAATGCCATGGAGTCAGTCCACCCTGCAAAGCAGCCATTTTTAATTATTTTTTTATTTATTATTTCTATTTATATCCCGCCTTGCCGGACACGCTGGCTCAACGCTGGCTCAAGGCGTCTAACAGGGTTCAAATGACGTAGACGATACAGAGAAAACAGTTAAAAATACAAGACCGGTTAAAACAGCAACAGGTACAGATAAAAAAAAGCAACAACAGATGATGGCGATCATCCAAATCACACCCAATGACAGGAGTAGCATCCAGGCCAGAAGATGTTCTAAGTTTCAAGCCAGAAGATGTTCCAGGGCACATCCATCAGTGGCAGCTCCTAATCGAAAGCCTGGTGGAAGAGCTCCGTTTTACAGGCCCTGTGGAACCATAGAAGGTCCCGCACAGGGAGGGTCAAGCGGTATTGCGACCCTGAACTCAGTGCTCTCTGGGGCACATGTGGGGAAAGGCGGTCCCTCAAGTAGGCAGGCCCCTGACCATATAGGGCTTTAAAGGTTAGAACCAGCACCTTGAACCGAATCCGGTACACTATAGGCAGCCAGTGCAGTGTCCTCAGCACAGGCTGGAGGTCGTCCCGTGGAAAGAGACTCATCAGCAGCCTGGCTGCGGCATTTTGCCCTAGCTGCAGCCTCCGGATCTGGGACAAGGGCAGCCCCATGTAGAGAGCATTGCAGTAGTCTAATCTTCTTTTTTTTTAAGTACCCATAGGTACACTTTTATTAATTTTTCTTTTATAATCTACAAC